TCTATTCTATTCTATTCTATTCTATTCTATTCTATTCTATTCTATTCCATTCTATTCTATGAAATGTTATATATAATTGTATAATTGTTATTTTATAAGTTTGCAGCTGCACACAAGGGGTCAGGAACCCAAAGGGTATGGCCTAGAAGAACAGATTATGGGAAGGCTCTTGAAAAAGAGATCTGTGGTAGTACATGGGAGTGGTAGATAAAACCTCTGTGGAAACAGCACCTCCTAAGGAAAAGAGGGATGATGGCAGAATCTCACTGTTTGCTGCTGAAACCTTTTCTAGTTGTTGCTGTTGTTTTACTGCTTAAAAACTTCCCTGTTATTTTTTTTTTTTTGGCTAGATTCTTCTCCCCCTCCCCCCCAGATTATTTATTTAATCAAAGTATTTATTTGCCACCAATCTTGCCTGGAAAGGAATAAGTAGCATGTGTAAACCAAGCAAAGGATTGGCCACTTTAATTGACACAAAATACAAATTTCTACCTGGCCTTCGCAGGATTATAGGAAGGCCAGCCTTTCTTTAGTAAGTGCTTCAATTTCACAATCCATGCTCCACTGCAACCAAACCACCAGCTGAGGCTTATAACCACCATTAACTACACAATGGAAATCATATTGATTTTATTAGTGCATGCTAGGGTTTCAATCCTGAAAAATCAAAGAGAATCTTAGCGATATTGTTTGTGCTTCCGCTAGCGTAAGATATACAACAGTTTTGAGATAACTCTCACATCCTGGTAAGAGAAAAAGTAAACAGCTCCAACCATGCTGCTGCTTACTGATCTGAGTACATTTGTTATCAAATGGAGCCAACAAAACTTTAATGTAATACAACTGTGTTGCATCTATTTATACTTAGACGTACAAGGATTGGTTAAGATCAGGATGTTGTCTATCTGACCAAAGTACAGGTAGCCCTTACTTAATGACTAGTTGCTTAGTGACCATTTGAAGCTATGACAGACCTCCCCAGAACCACTTCAGAGCGGTGCCCCCTTAGTCATGTGATTGTATTTTGGGCAGTTGGCACAAAACACCCATTGAAGAAAACATGCTTGTTTAACAATAGCTGTGTTCGCCTAATAATCCCTGCAAACCAGGGTGATAAAATTGAGTGTGGTCATGTCACAACCCACTTAATGACCGGCACAAATTATGACCATAATTCTGGGATCAACTACAGTTGTAAGATAAGGGCTTCTTGCACCTTATATCTTGATATCTAAGTAAATATGTAAACTTGCTAGTGCTAGATAGGGTGGATAGTTATCCATGCTTGTGTGGATGCAGGAGTCTAACTTGTTAGTTTTAAACTCCTGATACCCCCGAAGATAAATTATGGCTGGCCAATGCTGAGATTCTCAGATGTCTACATGACTACATTGCCTACATTCTCTCAGTCCACTCCAAGTTGGTCCAGTGAGCATATTTTCATCTCATTCTAATTCCCTGAGGACCAACTTGGAGTGGACTGAGAGAATGTAGTCATTCAATCCCTCCTCCCAATTTGCTTGGAAAATGTGAAAATCTTGATCTCACAGTTTTGTCATGAAATGTAAGTACGGTAGAAAAGTAGGTCTGTGTTCAAGGCAGTTAAACTGCTCTTGTCCACTGTTTGATAGTTGTCCCACAACATGGTTCATTCTCAGCAAAACCAATGTGGGATTCTATCTGAGATCAAGAGAGAAGCATCTAGGAGTTTGCAACAAAACAAATAACGAAACAAAAATGATTACGTATAGTCATTCATTTTCTTTTTAAAACTGGACTGTTTTTAGAAGCATTCAGAGTTGAAACACATGTATTACATGTGTTCGGTTTCATCCTGGTTAGCAAGGTTTGCCCCTAATGCCTAATTCAAACTTTGTCTGGGAAGGTTAATGACTGACAAAGCAATTTCCAAAGCAAAACAAAATTGGTGAATTTTTTCCAGGTAATAGAACCTGCTCCCTATCTTTAGAATCATCAAGGCTGAAATTGTTTTTATTGACTGTGCTCCAATTTGAGTTCTGCAATCCAAGGTGAGCTAAAACAGTTAAATAAACAAATAACAAGTTAATGTACAGAGATGACAGTCCTGTCTTGGATAGGGATATACTGTATAAATTAGACCAGCACTGGATAGTGAAGAGGTTGTGAAGGCATCCCTCAACTTAATTTTTCATGCATCAGATTTGCATTCCTAATAATCTTTAAGAAGAACTGGGGATGGGGAAGACCTTTGATTGCACACATCCCACCAATCCTACTGTAGAGAAACCAGGAGGTTGGTCAGAAATAAATCCAATGACTTCTTTTGAAGTCGCACCCGGACATGCTGCTTAAAAATGTGAATTATCCAAATTATTGAATTACCAAAATGGTTTAGCAGAGTGCAGATATGTCTCATTTCCTGTCCATGTCTAGAAATGTATATATATATATATGAATGCTGACATTCAGACGATGGTGCCCATTCTAAGCACTGATCATACTACAGAAAACAACATGATGCCCCAAAGAACATCACCCTTTTCTCTTTTAAATCAAAGTGGGCCGGGTAACTGAAAGAAGAGTTCACTCAATATGGGACGGTGAGGAAAAGGCTATAAGAATGATCAAGTCCTGTCTCTATGTTAATGGTTGGTAGGGAAGGCCTCTCTGATCTGTCAACTTTTAGAACTAGCAAACGAGAATCCAAAACGTTCAAAAGGGAGAGGCGATGAATACCTCCTTTCAGTGCCACTTTTTCAGATTAAAAACTGTCCTCCCACTGCCACTTGTTAGCAGACAGGTCTCTAGTCACAGATTGAGCTCTCAGTGTTTCAGCAAGCAAAGGAATGAAAGGGATAGATAGCAACACTTAAAACATTTGTGAAGGTGTCCATTCTCTTTCAGTTGGCTGAATACTTTTCAGAACCTGGCAAAAGCCTTCTCTGAAAGAATAAACTAGAAGTCTGTGAAACATTATCCTCAATTTTATAGAATTCACCTGACAAACTGGTATATTGGTTTCTCCATGTGGGGATTTGAGACCATGTGAGACTATGGATAATCTTAACTCAAATCTTCTCTAACCTAGCACCCTCCAAATACATTAGAATGCAGTTCCCATAATCTCCAATGGCTGGGGAAGGCTGATTTTGATATCTTTAAAATGGCATTTCCCTGAATCCCAATATCATTTTCTGTCATTTTTTTTCTCTCTTTCATTCCTCATTGTATATGCATCTAAGTGTTTTACACTTCAAACAGCATCATAAAATAACAGCATCCCATAATTATGTTAAACTAGAGAACTTAACTAATATTATCTGCCAACCTAAATAAAATGCTTTGCAAAGGCATTTAAAAAGAGCAATTTTCAGAGCCTGCCTTCACATCTTCTGTCTTGCTACAAAGAAAGCTTCTTGATTTTTGTTTAAAACAAAGATCATAGATTTCTTAAATAACCTGAGCAAGGTGTTTCCCCAATCATCTCTTTTGTTCGTAACTACAGTTTGCAGGACAAGATGGCTTAAACTCATGCCAGTGGTACGTACGAATCAACTTTAATATCTGATACATATTAAAATGTTAATTAATAAAACGTTGCCACCTTTTTCTAGCTGTGATTTCCAGAAAGGAATTGGTCCTAGTAAGCAGTAAATCCACCAAACTGAAATTGGCCCCCATGGCCTTCCCAGAATCTTAAGGTGAGATGAAAACCCACATCCAAGTGCCACCCTCTGAACTCTTCTTGGCATCTCCTTTTTAAGCTTGAGGGGTTGCTGATATGAAGAACTCCTTAGGGCTTTTGGTTTCAATGGTTGCCTGTTGATAATGGCAGAGCTGGAGCAGAAGAGGATGCTCATTATTGTCAGGAGGAAATGTTTAAGAGCCAGCTAGCCTAACACTTCAAAACCTCAGGAGTTCTCCGAGTGATAAACTACCAACAGTAAACTTAAAGGGAATAGAGAGACTAAATGCAGGAGATTTGACAGCTGTACAAAACAGACTCAAAGGGAAGGAGAAATAAATAAGGGGAAAGTATTGTGTTGATGTCTGATCTCTTGCAAGTGTGCTGGAGAGTTTGTTGCCTAATAGCACACATGGACTCAGTGCAGGAAATATACCATGTTGAGGGCCTATGCTTCCCGTTGAGCCAGTGGTTGGCATTGTTGTTTAAAAAGAATGCTGTTTTCAAATAGCCAGTAGCAATTAAGAAGCAAGATATATTTTCCTCTTCCGTTCGCAATAGAAAATGGTATCAGAAAGAAAGCTTTTTGTATCTTATCTAAGAATGCACAGGGCTCACTACACATTTTTTTTAAAAAAATATTTTCTTACTCATTATAGTTTTATAGGAAAGTCCTAAGCAGGGACATCCCACCTACCCAGGGGTGGGATCTGACAGGGTTAACTACTGGTTCGGTGATTTACGATGTGCTGCACGCTGTGCATGTGTGTAAATCTTCGTCAGCTTGCTGCCTGGATAGCTGAGCAGCGCTGCGTGCAGGGAAGCAGCGTTTGAAAAAGCACATTTTCCCTGCTTTTTTAACTGCAGCTGTGCCTCGTACAGAAGTTGACGTTGAAAAAGCAGGAGATAAAGGTCAGGTAAGAGCCCAGGCGGGCAGGTGGGCCAAAACAGCAGCAGACATAGAACCAGTTCTATGTCTGCTGCTCTTCAGAGCTACGGGTTCTACAGAGCCGGACAGAACCGGTAGAATCCCACCCCTGTACCTACCCCTAAAGAGTCACATCATTCAAATGAGTTTGTTTCCAATGAAGATGACTTCAGAATGGCCCCTTAACTTAACTCTTGTCGTTATATGCATTAAAGTTTCACATACCTGGAAATTGATAACTGTAACTGGGGGCAAATCCAGGATATCCTCGGCCATAGGTTGCAACAAAATTTGGGTAACCTTGAATAGACAAGTGTTTGAGAAAGAGAAATTAACCAATTAATTTAAACCCAGATTCTTATTTCACATGCAAATAATTACACCAAAGGCAGAGAAGAAATTTGATTTTTGTGCAAAGCATTAGGAGATTTTTTTTCCTGTATGCATCACATCAGTGCTAATTAAATGTTAAGTGCAGTACAATGATCTCATAAGAAAGTCTAAACACAGGTCTGGTGCAAACCACAAAGACATCCAGGGTCCAAATATTATTGCAGATGAAACAAGGTGCTAACATATTTAATGCAACTTGGATTTCATTTTCCCTTGAGCACAGAAAAATAACAAGGGATCTAGAGATTAGTATCATTTCTTGATCACTTCCCCCTTCCTCTCCATTCCTGCTATTCATAATTAAAATGCACCCCAGTAACTCAAAGCCAAGGACTCTGCCTACTTTTCTCAGCTGGGAAGAGTAAATGCCAAGCACTAAAGGATAAGCATATAACACAGGTTTGCTTTGACATTTGGAGAGCTTACAACAAATGTACTTTGCTTCAGAACTATTGACAGTTGGAGATTAAGGTACTAGTGATGCTTCATCCTCAGAGTCTGAAGGACAACTGTTAACACATCCAAAAGTCAGAAGCAACAAGATGAAGGATCTGGGGAGATGGAGGGATTTTAACTCTGCTTAGGATGCTAACATTCGACAAAATAATTGCAAATACTTTTCATGGAGAACTCAACAAGATCAGTGGTTTCTCAACATTTTCTTTTAAAAAGGAAACCAAACATTTCAACAGAAGTCTTTAAATATCCAGCCATCTTAGAACTAATATGGGGATGGAGGAATATTAATTGGGGGGTGGGGAGAAGAGGGAGATCTGGAAATGCCTGGAGATTCTCAATCATTCAGGTCATAGTTGTCTCAAAGATGCTCTTTCGTTCCCATCCAAGAAGCTTCATCACCTGCCATCAGAACTGATGAAGATTCTTGGATGAGAAACAAAATGTTTTCTTCTTCTTCCTCAAGAAAAAACAAACAAACAGTCTAGCTGCCTTTTGGTGGGGGGGAAAGCACCTCTGAGAGATCTGGAAATATTTGTCACTCTATTTGTTTTCAATTGATTTGGAAAGCCTCAAGGGGGCACCAGCCTCCAGAGAAAATTGATGGTGGAGAGAGCAAATTGGTGCAAGAAGGATTCAGTTGAAAGCAAATTGGTCTTGCTTTCTACAAATTCTCTTTTGGAAAAAAATGGATGTCCTGTGATTCTTTTTCTCCAGGAAGACACGTATGTGGTGGGAATGTGGCAGTTTGAACTCCCTGTTGAGGTGCTAGTTGGGTGGAATTAGGACTGTTGGTCAACACATCTGGAAAATATTATGTTTGGGAAGCCAGAAACAAAGCTGAGGCCAAGTTCTAGCTTGACTTCTGGCAATTAGGGAAATCCCTTTCCTGAAACATTGGTGATATTAAGGCCTGACTTGGTACAGCCAACTTTCCTTTGTTAAGGCTATCCTTGTGATTGGGTTTTCTGATACCATGATTCCATCTCTCATTCTCTGCACATCCAACAATGATCATTGCTGGTCTCTTTCTCTTTCTAATTATTCCCTTTTTGGAATCTCCAAAGTTTCTTGAATCCATATGCACAGGTTTGGTATAACTGTTGTTACTATTCATTCTGCTTTGTTTCCCCCTCGACTGTTGTAGGTTTTTTTTCTCTGAACCACCAATAAGTAGAATACCTCGATAGAAAACAAAGCACTGGACATTTGGACAATTGATTGGGTTTTTGTATCTCTCTTCAGTGGCTGGAAAAAATTTTTTTTAACAAAAGGAAAGCTTACAAACAAAACAGGAATGGTAAATTATGTCTTCAACTAGTGCGGCAATAAATCTTAATACAATCTTAATCTTAATAAAAAACAGATTTTCTATTTTAACTTTTTTTTGTAAGCAGTTTACCTACATGATATTTTTAAAGTCCAATTTCACTATAGTTTCACATCTTTCTCTTCAATGCCTCCAATAGATTTGTTTAAGGCTGAGTTCTATATGTCTGTTGTCTTAATTCCTGTATGCTTACAGTTTTAAATTGTCATTTTTATCTTTATTTTATTTATTTGATTTGATTTGTCAATCGCTTACAAGAAAATAGGTATAAGTATAAACATAGTTATGAACACATGAAATGGATACATATAAGAAAAACAACAACAATAGGACAGCGATGGTAGGCACGCTGGTGCGCTTATGCACACCCCCTACAGACCTCTTAGGAAAGAGGTGAGGTCAATAGGAGACAGTCTAAGGTTAAAGTTTTGGGGGTTTGGGAAAAAACCACAGAGTCAGTTAGAGTATTCCAGACATTGACCACTCTGTTGCTGAAGTCATATTTCCTGCCATCAAGTTTGGTGCAGTTAACCTTGAGTTTGTATCTATTGTGTGCTCTTGTGTTGTTATGGTTGAAGCTGAAGTATTCATTGACAGGTAAGTCATTGCAATGTATGATTTTATATACCATACTTAGATCAGACCGAAGATGGCGTAATTCAAAGTTTTCTAGGTCTAGAATTTCAAGTCTGGTGGCATAAGGTATTCTACAATGAGAAGAGGAGTGGAGAACTCTTCTTGTGAAATATTTCTGGACTTTCTCAACTGTGTTAATATCAGACATGTAATGTGGGTTCCAGATTGATGAGCTGTATTCGAGTATTGGTCTAGCAAATGTTTTGTATGCTCTAGTTAGTGGTGTGATATTACCAGAGAAAAAGCTACGTAGGATTAGGTTAACAACTCTTAATGCCTTTTTGGCTATGTAGTTACAATGGGCTCTGGCACTTAGATCATTAGAGATGAGTATTCCAAGGTCCTTTACAGAGCTTGGATCATCAACAAGGTCTTGACTATTTAGCTTGTATTTTATTTTCTGATTTTTTTTGCCAATATGTAAGACAGAGCATTTATTTGTTGAGATTTGAAGTTGCCATTTGTTTGACCATTCTGATACATAGTCAAGATCTTTTTGAAGGGTAGCAGTATTGTCTGTGGTACTGAACAGCTTTACATCATGTTGTAAGCCACCTAGAATCACTTGATAGAATGGGCAGTATGTTAATTTAATACATAAATAAAAAATAATAATAATAACAATATGTACTGTTACAGTTGAGCTGTACTGTTGCTCAACAACTGCCCTGTTTAGCTAACAGTCAAAGTGCTGAAAAAATAATTGAATGACCAGTCAATGCACTTATGACCTACAACTGTGTGATCGAATTCAGGCCCTTTGCAACCAGCGGGTATTTTGATGCTCACACAGTCACCACTTTACAACTGCCTTCTGGCAAGCCCAATCAATAGAGAAACTGACAGGAAATTTGGAAGTTGCAGTCATGGGATGACTCAGTTAACAACGCTGATCAGAGATGGTATTCAGCAGGTTCTGACCAGTTCTGGAAAACCAGTAGTGGAAATTTTGAGTAGTTAGGAGAACCACAAAATACCACCTCTGACTGGCCCCATCCCCATCTCTTCTCTGCCTCCCGAGTCCCAACTGATCGGCTGTATCTTCTTTTGTTGCCCTGCACAGGAGAACGGAGCCGGAAAGCAGGTTAGTGGGGTGGGGAGGGAATGGGATTTTGCAGTAACCTTCCCCTGCCACGCCCACCAAGCCACACCCAGAGAACCGATAGTAAAAAAATTTGAATCCCACCACTGACACTGATGATTTGCTTACCATCAGTGGAAGTTAATGTTATAAGCTTGCTGTGGTCACATGATATTTTGCTCAATGACCACATAGCAATGGAGTTGCTGGTCCCAACTGTAGCATTTAAATAAGCATGGCGTGTAATTCTTTTTCTATAGACTTCAATTAGTCTTTTTATCTTTTTTTTAAAAGTTTGTTTCTATTTCTGTTCTGCCCAAGTCTTTATAGTTCCTTTGTTGTTCTGCTTCGGTGTACAGGGGTGAATTTCCGGACTTTTCTCCTCCGACTTTCCATCTGAGGGAAATGGTAGGAAGAGCTTTTCCCTCATGCCAGTTCTGAGGGCAAAGGATAAAATGGTTCCTCTCCCCCCAGTTTCGTCAGCTGCTGCCTCTTTTCTGGTCGCCTCTTTCACATCAGGACTGCCTTTCTTTTAGTTTGCCTCTTTATTTGATTCCTGGGCTTTCACTTTGTTTATTCTGCCACTTGTTTGCCAAATCTGTGGCCTGCAGAACTCCCAGACTGCGATCTTGTTTGCCTCCTGGTCTTATGCCCAATGTTGCTGTTTGATTGGCATTTGGGTCATCCTGATAACAGGGGAAGAAGGAGTGCAGGAATGAGAGAGACGGGGAGGGAGGGAGGGAAGGAAAGAGAAAGAAAGAAAGAAAGAAAGAAAGAAAGAGGGCTAGAAGAGGAAGGGAAGTAGGAAAGGAAAGGAAAGGAAAGGAAAGAAGGAAGGAAGGAAGGAAGGAAAGAGAAAGAAAGAAAGAAAGAAAGAAAGAAAGAAAGAAAGAAAGAAAGA